TTGGGGGTTCTGTACGAGGTAATGTCTGTGCAAGCCACGGACAACCGGCAGCATCACCGCCAAGTTGTATTTGTGGGAGGGAAAGAAGTGCAGGGGCTGCGGGACTCGGGAGCCACCTTAACCTTAGTGGCCCCCCATTTAATTCCAGATACGGCCCACACTGGCGGATCAGTGGCAGTCCGGGTAGCAGGGGAACCATGTACCGGTTACCCACGCCAAGGTGCATTTGAATTGGGGTGCTGGGGAGGGGGTTGTGGAAGTGGCCATAATGAAAAAGCTACCGGCCGATGTTGTTTTGGGGAATGACTTGGGCCAGATGACTTCTGCTTTCCTACCCCAGGCCCCGTCACAAGAGGCGCATCCGGTAACCACCCGGCAACAGGCTCGCACCACGGCATTCCCCGCACACTCTGAGGCTCAGGTAAGAAATCATGACCCCCCCTTGACAGACATGACTTGGGACACCCCGTCCACGCTTGAAGTAGAGGTGCAGACAGACCCCACACTGCAGGTATACCGAGATAGGGTAGATACGGACCAGGTGGGGCGGGAGGGAGAACAGTACAGGTGGGAGAAGAAGTTACTATACCGGGTGGCGGAAAGGGCAATAGGCAACTCGGTGACGCTCCAAACCAAGCAGTTAGTAGTGCCCCAGAAGTATAGGCAGGAGTTACTAAGAATCGCCCATGATATTACTCTGTCCGGCCATCTAGGGAAGACCCGGACCCGGTATCGCTTACCGCACGCATTCTTTTGGCCCGGGATTTCTAAAGACGTGAGGCAATATTGTACCTCCTGTGATGTGTGCCAGAGGGTAGGCAAGAGGGGGGACCGCCACAAGGCAAAACTGTGTCCCCTACCTATCATTGAGGAACCATTCAGCCGTGTGGCAGTGGATATAGTAGGGCCACTACCAAAACCCAGCCCTTCTGGGAAACGGTATATCCTGACCGTAGTGGATTACGCCACCCGGTACCCCGAGGCGATTGCCCTAACTAATATACACGCCGAGACCGTAGCTGAAGCCTTGATGAAAATATTCTCCCGAGTAGGGTTCCCACAGGAAATGGTCTCCGATAGGGGGACGCAATTCACGGCTGAGGTTACTCAGCAATTATGGAGGATATGTGGCATTAAGCCGATCATTAATTCCGCCTACCACCCGCAATCCAATGGATTATGTGAGAGATTCAACGGCACACTAAAACAGATGCTCCGGACATTCGGAGAGACCCATAAGGACTGGGAACGATTCCTTCCCCATCTGTTGTTTGCATACAGAGAGGTACCCCAAGAGTCCACAGGTTTCTCCCCATTTGAGCTATTGTTTGGGAGAAGGGTCCGGGGGCCGTTGGATCTCATTAGAGAGCATTGGGAGGGGAGAGTAGCGCAGATGGGACCCCAATTGTACCCTACGTGCTGGCGTTCCGGGATCGCCTGGAGGAATTGACCCAGGCAGTGCGCACCAACCTCCAGGCCGCCCAACAACGACAGCGTCGTTGGTATGACAAGGGGGCCAGAGACCGTAGTTTTCAAGTGGGACAGAAGGTGCTAATCCTTAAACCGGTCCGCACCGATAAACTACAGGCCGTCTGGCAGGGCCCATACCAGGTGGTAGAGCAGAGATGCGATACCACCTATGTGATCGGCCCATGCTCCGGAGTAGGGAAGAGACGCATGCTCCATGTGAACATGCTCAAACCCTACCACGAGCGGACGGAGGACGTGGCAGCTATTTGCACGCCCGCCTCCGAAGATCAGGAGAACCTGCCCCTTCCAGATCTGTTAGAGCAGGAGGAGCAGAAGGAACCCTCCCAGGGGGTTCAACTGGGGGAGCGGCTAAGTCCTCAAGAGCGTATCCAGGTACAAGAACTGATAGCAACCAAGGGCGCCGCCTTTTCTAACCTACCTGGGTACACTCCACTAGCCACCCACCGAGTAGAAACCCCGGGACAGCTTCCCATGCGACAGACTCCCTATCGGATTCCCGAATCCGTGCGGGAACATATGAGGAAAGAAATTGACGAGATGTTGCAGTTGGGGGTTATTGAGCACTCCGATAGCCCCTGGGCATCGCCGGTAGTCCTGGTTCCCAAGAAAGATGGTACCACCCGGTTCTGCGTGGACTACCGGAGGTTGAACGACAAAACTGTGTCGGACGCCTACCCGATGCCTCGGATAGACGAACTGCTTGATAAGATGGCCAGGGGTCAGTATCTCACTACCATAGATTTGTGTAAGGGATACTGGCAAATTCCACTAGCCGAGGACGCCATCCCTAAGTCGGCGTTTGTCACCCCGTTTGGCTTGTACCAATTTCGAGTCATGCCATTCGGGATGAAGAACGCCCCCGCGACATTTCAGCGGATGGTGGATCGGCTACTGGACGGGTTCCAGGACTATGCGTGTGCATATCTGGACGATATTGCCATATACAGTCCGACCTGGTCGGAGCACCTACAACACATGGGGGCAGTAATAGATAGGATTCGGGAGGCAGGGCTTACCTTGAAACCCAGCAAATGCCACATAGGGATGGCAGAGGTCCAGTACTTAGGACACCGGGTTGGTAGCGGGCAGCAGAAGCCTGAGCCCGCAAAGATTGAAGCTGTAGCCCAGTGGCCTACCCCTAGGACCAAAACCCAAGTCCTGGCTTTCCTAGGTACCGCAGGGTACTACAGAAAATTTGTACCCAACTACAGTGCCCTGGCCAAACCCCTGACGGATTTGACGAAGAAAAACCTGCCCCGGCAGGTCGTCTGGGCCCCAGAGTGTGAACAGGCATTCAATCAGCTGAAGACGGCTCTGACCAATGCCCCTGTACTGGCTGCTCCTGATCCAACTAAACGTTTTCTTGTTCACACAGACGCCTCAATGTTTGGATTGGGAGCAGTACTGAGCCAGGTCGGAGCCGATGGCGGAGAACACCCCGTAGCATACTTGAGTCGGAAACTGTTACCCCGAGAGGTGAGCTACGCCGCCATAGAAAAAGAATGCCTGGCCGTGGTGTGGGCCCTGAAAAAGTTACAGCCGTATCTCTATGGGCAACCCTTTTCTTTGCTCACAGATCACAACCCGTTGGTGTGGCTAAACCGTGTGGCTGGAGACAATGCCAGGCTGCTGCGCTGGAGTTTAGCGCTGCAGCCCTTTGACTTTACAATTCACTACCGCCCAGGGAAACAAAACGGTAATGCCGACGGGTTGTCCCGACAAACAGACCTTGAGAAATGATCTGTGAGCACTCCTCCGGACATCCCCAAGCCGATCCGTTGGGATCAGACTGTGTATGCCGGCTTGGTTCTGGGGGAGCATTGTGGCAAACCTAGCCACTTGGACAATAACTAGAGACTGTGCCTTTAAGGGTTACCAATAGGTCGGGCGAGATATGCGCTTTACACTTATGTAGATGTTAATGTATTTTCTGTATTGCCTGTACTGCTGTTTCCGCCGAATGCAAATGGCGGTTTTGTATGGGGATTTTCTTTCGTTTCACGAACGGCACTTTAGAAAGCCGTTCGTGAACCGAACGCGATACCCCCTAATAGCCCACACACTTAGAAGCGTGTGGCGCTAGTTAACCGATTGCAACATTGTTGCAATCGGTTATTAGAGGCTCTCCTGGGTGGCCGTCGTTCGACTACCGACCATGCGGCGGTCGGCCATCTTGGATCCCTTGTTCTTCAGCGGGTCCGTGTCATCGAACGCATAGCATTACCAATAGTTATTCGACGGCACGAACACCGCTGAGCCTCCAGGACGTTCGGGAGTTTCAGGACCAGGTTCACTAAAAGCAATCGGTTCTTTTTGTGGGTTTTGAAAGAAATGTGTTTTCTGTGCGGCGTTCGGTTATTTTAGCTGGGATCTGAGCGGCAATCTCACGAATGATGCGCCCAGACCCCAGCTATCTACCGAACGTCCATTCGTGTAAATCCACCGTATATTGTAACAGTTGTAGATTTTTGTGTGAATTGCCGGTTCTGCTGCACGAGGGGATAATCCCCTTAACGGTGCATTCTGGGAGGATGATCCCTCTCGTGCAGCAGTGCCTGATGGGAGAAATATGTTGTACTGTAAGTCCCCCATGTAGTCCCCTCTGGGAGTGCCCCTGGGGAGGAACTCAGGAAACCCCTTGCATGGGGACTTGTATAAATTGTCGTGCCGATTAAAGAATTTCAGTTGACTCCCAAAACTGTGTCTCGTCCGGTTATTGGGAGGTTGGGGATATTGCCTTGGTGTTTTCAGCGCTTGACTGTGGATTCGTTTCTGGACCAGCGGAATTCGTGGATTTTATATTGGCGTTCCGCTACAACACATATATACACACTGGCACATACACACACACACTGACATATATACACACACTGACACATACACACACTGGCACATACACACAGATCGACACACTGACATATACACACACTGACATATAGACACACTGGTACACAGATTCACACACTGACATATACACACACAACGACAAACACAACGACACACACATACATGTCATAATTTTTATGTTTGAAGCCACCCTCCTGTTAGCATACCTGTTAGCATACCTTTTGTCATACATACATGCTTGCGGTGCTGCTGGCTGAGGCTGATATTTGGAGAGTCTGCAGCAGTTCACTCTGCTCCTCTCCCTCCTGCTGCTGATTTTGCTGTGCTTCCTCCCTCCCTGCAGCGCTCTCTGTTTGAAGCTGGGAGGAAGTGATTGACTGTGACTTCCACCCAGCTGGCCAATACTACAGGGGCCCGATCATGATCCTAAAGTGCCCCAGTATCTCACAAGGCCCCTGTTATGCAGTACACATCTGGTGGCCCTAGATTCACGGTCAGCATGCAGACTCATTGGTTGCACCAGCAGTAGTTCTGCCACTGGGAATGTCCCAGCCCTAATGCC